CCTTTTTTATCAATACGTAATGTCCTTCTAGGTCTCATAACAGTTTTTTATCTTTAAGTCTATTTAGTCTGAAGTGACTACAGCCACCCGGGCTCTCTTTTGGTTACTATTTGCATGAAGTATCTTTTTCCATTCTTCCATTTTCAACCTATGTGTATCACTGGATCTAAATGAAGTCTCTGGTAGACAGCATATAGATGAATTATTTTTTAAATCCATCTCCTTCTGCCTTTTATTTGGAGATTTTTATCCATTTAAAGTAATTACTAATAAGGAAAGATTTACTTTTGCCATTTGCTGTTTGTTTTCTATGTCTTACACCTGTTTGGTCCTTCAGTTCCTCCATCACTTCCCTTTTTATGATTAACTGATTTTTTTTCTAGTATACCATTTTTATTACCTTCTCACTTTCATACTTTTTTATATGTTTTAGGTTTTTTTTCCTAAGGATTAATGTCTTAACTTTATAACAATCAAGTTTGAATTAATAGCAACTTAGTGTCAAAAGTATACTAACACTCTACTCCTTTATAGCCCTGCTGCCCCTTATATTATTATTGTCACAAATTATATCTTTATATATGTGGGCCCATTGACATAGATCTGTAATTATTTTTTTAAGCACTTTTCTTTTAACTCCTAAGGAAAAAAGACGAGCTACAACTCAACACTACTGGGTTTTCTATTCACCAATGTAGCTACCTTCACCATTCTTCATTTCTTTTTATGGCTTCGAGGTACTGTCTAGTGTCCTTTCATTTCAGCCTGGAGGACTCTTCAGTATTCATTATAGGGCAGGTCTACTAGTCACAAACTCCTCGAGTTTTTGCCTATCTGGGAATGTCTGTCTATAATGACATTGTCTGGGGAGTGGGGGTTATAAAGTGCTTCCCCAGGCCACCTGATGCCATCAGATCAGGGTTAGGAGACCCCTTTGGTCTCTGCTGAAACCACGTTTGCCAGCTAGAAAAGTATCAACCCAGGCTGTCTGCCGAGGGACAAGAGACCAAACCCCGAGATCGGTCTCTGATGACACCAGAGGGAGGGGCACCCATGGTGTCTGGCTGGGGTAGGGCAGGTATTGTCAAAAAGGTTTCTATCTAGCTTGGCTACCCCTTTCCCAGTCCTTTGACTAGACAGTAGACTTTTCTCAAGGCTTTGTTTTCTTTTGGTCTACACTTGTTGGCAATTCCAGGCTACAGGCTTCTCTAGTACCCAGTGCAGGACACATGGGAGATTTTTTTCTTTAACTCAGGCAACTCACACCACCATGCCATTCCTCAAGTCCTAAGGCCCTCAACCAGTCCACTTTCCTGTTTACATCTTTCAAAGTCCTCTGTTTATTACGTCCAGGGCCTTCCATTGTATTCAGCAGTGTGGGCAAGCAGGGAGAAATTAGTCTAAACTATCTTGTCCTCAATTGCGTTTTATGATGTTTCGACTATATTTGCAACAAAATTTTTCTTGGACAAAGGAATACAACCAGAATCTAAGACCTTAAGAATGAGAAGGATCTATCTACTTTAATCTTCACATTTTACAGAAGAGGCAATGGTAGGTCTGTGAGACGAATGTGCTTACTCCCACAAGGCTACCGAGCTACAGGGTAGTCAGGCAAAGAATAAGACCACAGACATATTCATGCAGTGTTCTACAGCTTTCACTATGTCCTTCCATCATCACAGATGAAGAGAAATCCTGGGCCTAGATCTTTTCTTAATTACAGAAATACTCATTAACATACTCTGATTTTCACCTCATCTGCAGCGTGCACCCTAAGACAGAACAGAGTAACACTCTGAAAGAAAGTGAAAGTGGCATCTTAGGTGATAGGCTTGTAAATTCAGAATAATTACTAAGTTTCTAATACATGAATACATAGAAAAATACCTCTTGACATATACTAAACTTCTATATTGATGAGTAAAATGATGATGCTGTAATCTTTGAAAGCTCACAAATATGCTTTATCTAGTATATGTGCTGCCGAAGCAAGCACCAAATATGCTTTATCTAAATAGCCAATATATTAAGGTGATTCGATGACTAACGTACATTGTATGAGATCATGTGCATGTATTACAGCAAAAGATCTTGTGATATTTGATGCATGCCCACTGAGTTTTAACTTGATAAAGAAAAAAGCCATGAGGGGCGCCTAGGTGGCTCAGTCAGTTAAGTGTCCAACTCTTGGTTTCGGTTCAGGTCACGATCTCATGGTTTGTGAGTTTGATTCCCGCATCCAGCTCCGCGCTGACAGTGCAGAGCCTGGTTGGGATTCTCTCTCTCTCTCTCTCTCTCTCTCTCTCTCTCTCTCTCTTCCTCTCTCTTTGCCCCTCCCCTGCTCATTCTCATTTTGCTCTCTCTCTCTCTTTCTATCTCAAAATAAATAAACTTCAAAGAAAAAAAGAACTCAGGGCATACCAGCAACAAATCCCCTAGATTCTCAACTTCTTCCTTGAACATTCCTTCTCTTGCCTTAATTCGGTGTTTCTCAATCCTGGCTGCACTTCAGAACCATGTGGGGAGCTTCTTAAAACTCCCAATGCCTGAGCCTCCTCCCTGGGGGTGGGACCCAGACATCAGTAGGTTTAAAGCTCACCCAGATGATTTCACTGTGCATAAGGGTGAGTACCCCTGGACTGACACCCTATGTTCTCCCTGCAGGGACTGCTCCCCCAAGAGAACTCTCTTGTCAGGGGGCCCTTCTTCTCCCCCAGCTCTGGTACCACCGGGACTCAAGTGGGCAGGCCGCTGGTCCTCATTCCCACCTCTAAACACTAAATCTCTCTCCCTCAAAATCTAGCTTTCTACATTTCAGACAGTTCCTCAAACAAATGGGGATCTCTTGCATGCATGTTTCCTTGCAATTGCTTTTTCTCTACAGTAATAGTCTGCATCCTTCGGCCATCAGAAAAGCAAAGTTCTCATTTAAAACTCACTTCACTGGTCATCTCAGCCCTTCCACGAAGCCCTCTCAGTCTAAGCTTAAGAGTATTGATCAAATGCTTCCTCCACAATGCATCCATTCTGCAGTGCTATTTTAGTATTCATTACATAGCCAACGAGAAGCACCTGCCGTTGTAAGAAATTCGTAGTATAAATAGGAAAATTGTGAGCACGTTAGTCTACAAAGAGCCCCAATTCATCAAATGTGGTGCTAATATAAAACTGGAAAGATTACCCCATGTACCAAAAAACCTCTTTTCTTTAGAAAGATTACTGCCATAAGAAATGTAGCATGGCATCAATACTATGAAACAGATTTAATTGTTGGAGTACCGATCAGGCCCTTAGCAGAGAAGCAACCTACAGGACAAGCCACTCCGCAGATGGCATTTTATTCAGTTTCTATGCAAAGCATGAGGTACCAAGTTTAACTCTCATTTTAATGCTGCTCCATATGAAACAGTTCACTCTAATTGCTGTTTAGTCATTTATGTTATGAATCAGTCTTTTAAAAAATTAATAAATAAATGTGTCACCTCCTCTGAGCAGAGCCAAAATACCATGCCCTGTCTCTAGCCCGTCCCCAGGAAAACAGAGAACACAAACCATTTGATTCTTTATATAGTCACATGGTCCCTCTTGATCTTACCTATAGTACGAAAAATAAAAAGATCTGTTTCTTTGAATTTATTCCTTTTCTTAACTCCAGAGCCCCATTTGTATAACTTAATCCACATGTTCATATCATAATGGTGCTTAGTAGAAATAGGAGCCAGCGAAACTGCATTTTATGCTAAAAACCTATACCTTCTCCCTCTCACTTGACAAAAGATACACTTTTAGTGTATGTAGAAATGATCTATATATACCTTTGTGGGCACAGTTGCAAACATAGAAGCGCTTTTCTCTTACATACTTAAAACCTCAAAGGGCATCACTGGCCACGAAGTTTTTTTAACAGTGTTCCTTTTTAGGGAACAGAATGTTTTCATGTTTATTATAATCTAGTCTTGCCCATTTATCAAGTTAAATAATATGAAATTTTTAAATCAAAACCTTTCTATCTTACAAAATCTCTTCTCAGAGCTACCAATAAATAAAAGATTTAAAATATAACCAAGCTTCCTTGTTTTCTCCCCTAGGTACTACAGTTTAAGCCTCATAAAAATGAGTCTGTAGTTAAGTACTGTATATATATTTTTTCCCAAAGTCAAGCCAATTGTCCATATATAACAAGGAACACTCAAAAAATGTGTTTAACAGAGCAAAAGACGAATTCGGAGCGCTTAAGATTTGCTGTAATAAAGCTTGCTGCGAAGTGGTAAAAATGACCTCATGAGAGAGTAAGCAAGAAGGAACAGAAAAGCAAATAAGAAAACACAACAAAGTGAAAACATGACAATCTGAAACCTGAAGCTAATGTGTAGTAAACTTTATTTTGCATTTTCAATTCCTCTAGGGAAAACTATTCACCTAAGTATAAAAATTTAACTTCAATCACATAATATAGAGAGGAGGTGACAGATTAAAGAGGTTTGGAAATGTTCTTACCACTACTCTAAGGCTGGTGTATAATGTTTCCTAACAACCAAGCCCTCAGGATATTGATAAGTATTTTATAAATAAAGAGGTGAATGGTCACAATCACTAGGAAATTGCAAGCTTTACCAAATTTGACCAGGTTTCTTTACTGTAGAATTTCAAACCCTTCAATGAGCCCATTCGCACCGCGAACCTCCCTAAGCGGGTACCGAGGCCACAGCCTGCAAATCTGTCTTACCACAGAGCCCTATGAACGTCTCCCAGAAGACTACTTTATCACAAGCAGTTCAGGAAAGACTAGAATATACAGGTGCCCCATCCAAGTGGTTAGGGGACTCTCTCCCAGGGCCATTAGGAATTTGACACTGCACAAAGACTAAATACTATCATGTGTTCAGTACCCAGGATTTCCTCTGTTGAATGTGTGTGTCCCACTTACAGAGGAGGACAGGGGGAGAGCAGGGGGAGGTCAGTAGCGAAGGGATTTTCTGCCTGCATTTCTTACACACCTGTTTCTGCAGTCTGAAATCTCCATAGTTAGGCAGCTGAGTTGGAGGCCTGCGCTGAGCACTGCGCTTACTGTTTACCCTGAGATGGGAAATCTGGTAGACAAAGAAGCAGTCTCGTTCATTAACAGTGACTTGAGAATTCCCAGCCCCCCATCAGATCCTCAGTCACTAAGCCCCAAGGCAGGCAGGAAGCCCACTCAAGCAGGTCAGACGAGGTCCGCTGATAGCAGCAACACATTTCACAACCGGGAAATAACTGCTGTCACATGTGCGGTAGAAGATAAGGAGGTTGGTCACAAAAGCCCTTTCAGACAGGTCTTCCACGCATTCATCCAGGCGGCTCCCAAGCCCCAGTTTGAAACCAGCAGCTGATGGGTAACCGCCTCCAGAATGCCCACTCTTCTGTTTTGACAAAGTCCCGGTTTGCTATTGGTGCCAATCAGGAGCTTGATCTCATCTATGTCCTCCACAGGAAGACGGGGTGAAGGCCTTACCTGCCAATGCAACAGATCACCGTCTTACTGTATACATACACATCGGCTTCAAGGATGGGGAGGACAGGGATGTTTAGGAGATGGACTCTGACCGGGGAGCTGACTCTACCTATTCGCTAGCTATGTCACCTTAGCTGACTTGCTTGACCCCTGTATGTTTCAATTTCCTCATCTGTATAAAAATAAAGCATATTAGCACCTACTTCATAGGAGTTTTGTGAAGATTAAATAACGTGCTGAAAGCACTTAGCACAATAGGTGCTCCATAAACAGAACTAATAATTTAAATGAGCAGAAATTATAAGCAGGGAAAAGCTCGGAATGGAACTAAAGCTTGCTATTAGATATAAATGAGTATTTGTTGGCTGATTAATCAACAGGTCTTAGAGCCAATCCTGGAGCGTTGGAAAGGGGGTTCTCATTCGTTTCTATGTGAGTCAGGAAGAAGGGGGCTTTTTATTACCCTTCAGACTGAGGCAGGAAAGCAGGACCTCACTGTATTTGCACCTCAAGGTTGAGTGGATGCTAAAGATGATCTAATTCTCTAAAAGAAGGACAAGCAAATGTTAAAAGTGGCTTCAGAGACTCAGCGAATCCTAAGATGTGGCATACGGAAAGATATGCTCTGAGCAGCATTTTCTGCCGAGAGTTAGAGAGGGCCTTTAAAGGCACAAAGTTTCTTCAGCAGCAGTTAACAAAAGGAAGGACCCGTAGTGCCCTTTACCGCATTCCGCAGATTTGCTGCTTCCTTCTCATTTCCAATTCTACGAGCAGTGTTGATGAATAAGGCCATAGCAGCACATAAAAATAAGGCAGAATGAATTCACAGGCGAAACAGATTTTGGTGACACACTCTCCCAACTCCTGATGTTTCAGCTTATTATTCCAAAGGAAGATACCAACCTAATGAAAGCACTGTAGGCTCAAACCACAGCTCTAACACCATGGTGATGGCCATTTATTTTTAGTTTATGCAGAATTCACAAAGCTCCTAAAACATGATGAAAATATACACACCCAGACTGTACATACTATACAGAAACACCATGTCCCCCACCCCCAAAGCCAAAGGTGAACCAATACACATTTGTTTGGTTGCCTATTGAGGGAACTTCCATTTTTCTACATGAGGTTGAGGGACTGGCTAGGTAAGAAGAAATTCAACCGCTCTCTCCTTTGTCCAGATGTCATCTTGGGAATGTGACCAGGCAGTTCTGTGGCTATCAACTCTTGCAAAGGAAGCACAGTGATAGGACCACTTCCCTAGTACCGAACAGTTCACAGAAATCAACTTCTGTCTCCTACCTGTGATGGACAAGGTCTTGGAGGGAGCGCAGGCGGCGGAGGTAACAATCCTGACTTAGTAGCTGAAAAGAAAAACACATACTGTTAAGAATTCCCAAACACAAAACAAATACCCCTCCACTTCTTAACTAGGAATAGCAATTGCAGTTAACATGTTTAAGTTATTAAAATCCATCTGAAGGCTTAATTTTAAAAAAAAGCACATGCTATTTCTAATCCCTTTTTCATCTGGATCCTACCTTCTCCAAATCCAATTATTTATATAGGCTGTTGTGATTAAGACCATATAAAACAGTAAGGAAAAGACACCTTTTGATCAAAGCACTGGAACCCAGCACGGGAAAGGCGGTCAATCCCTCATTATTCTGATGTTAATTATTTAGTTTCAAATCATCTAGGCCCTTAGGTTTCTCTAACATGTCTCCCTCTCTCCCGGCCATTACACTGCTCATTAGCTCAGCAAGGAGGCTACAGAAACGAAGGGAGCCAGAGTTTCCGTGACGCAGCTCTACTGCCCTGTAAGCGAGTAGGTCTGACAGCAGCAGGGGACGCTGGAAGAGACGGACTAAAATGATGTTTACAGACCCTTCAAAGATCTCAATTGCCTTTTCTCTCCCTGATCCTTATTAGCAGAAATAAGAAAATCTGTTTCTAAAATAATCTGGCCCCATTTGAAGGATGAAGGGAAGTTTCAGTCTAATTTTTTTTTTAATTTTGTGAGATCTAGAGAAAATTTGAGTTAAGCCAAGAATGTCTGAATTATAACTTAACAATGAAAATAAACATCTGCTAGTGAATTATAAATCAAGTCCAAAATCACACACAAGAAATAACTTTATTATCACACACTGGCAAGTTAAACCATATTCTTTACAAACTCCTTTAAAAAGCACACTGTGCTCTATATAACCGTACACAGCTTATTGGCAATTCTATAATATGTGTGCTAATATTTGGACAATTTTCTGTGACTTAAAAATAAATCATAGCAATGTGCCAAGAACATAAAAGTTTTTGTAAATCACTTTTGATCTGACCTAGCTAGACCAGACATGCCCAAAGATGGAGTTTGGGGCTTTCCACAAAGGTAACTTAAGAGTAATTTCACAGAGATTTGCATTCTGAGCCAGGGCAGAGATATGGTACAACCATGTGGGTCCATCAATGACCTCTCTCAATCTGTCTCTCATTAAAATTTATGAAACACATCAGCGGGTCACAACTCCAGTGGTGGTAAGACCTTGGACAGTCTTCAATAACAAAGCGTGTAGCAGCAGAAAAACAAAAGCCTTAGGAATTATCCATCTCAGGGTCCCAACTCTAAAGGTCCTCAGGATTGGGCCTTTAAATTACCGGTTTCTTTTAAAACAAAACTTGAAAAATCTACACGTGCTTTTAAAGGAAAAGCCTTGCACCAGAACAAACTGTGTGTTAAAAATCACCCTTTATTAACAAAAGAGGCCTAAGAATCGATAAGCCGCTTAATTAAACTTCTGCTTCCAGCCAAGAGGGAGTAACAAAGACCAGATTTATCCTCCCATTTGAAACAGCCAAAAACAAACACGTTTTTTATATGAAACAACAATTTTCAACACTAGAACAAAACACAGAAAACGACAGTTTTCAAGACACTAGGAAACCAAGCAACAAAAGACCGTGATCCCTGAGAGGCAGGAAACCAAGCAGGTGAGTTGTGGGTCTCACTGTTCCCGCTTAGTGTACTCGGATACAGGACCGACACATCATATTCGGGTCTGGTACATTTCATTTGTGCTATTTTTTAATTAAAAAAACAAATGCCCTATCTTTATAAAAGATGGTATGAGGGTGTTTCTGCATATACTTTTGGATAAAATCGTATCACCTACAAACATGAACAGTAATTCAGTTGCCTCTTTTCAGTACCTTTACCTATTTTGTGTTTTTTACCTTACCTGGCAAGAACATCTACTATAAAGTTGACTTGTAATGATCATATGGGCATTCTTACCTTCTTTGATCTCAAAGGTAAGGCTGTCACTATTTCACCATTAGTATGGTACTTTCCATAGGTTTCTTGTAGAAATGCTATAACCAATTATGAAAATTCCCACCTGTTGAGATTTTTTTATAATTTGTTGATGATTTTTAACCAAAGTTGTATCTCCATCCACTGAGATGATGGTATGATTTTTCCCCTGATAATTAGTTAATATGATAAATTACATTATACATGTTTAAATGTGAAAGCACCCTTGCCAGCCTACAATAATCCCAACTTGGTCAGGTTTTTAGATCTGCTAGATTTAGTTGGCTAATATTGTGCTTAGGATTTTTGCCAACCATATTCATAAATGAGACTGTGATCAGTAAGTCTCCTTTCTCATGTAGTTGTCTGTCAGGCCTGATTCAGCCAGAAAATGTTCCCCATGTGTGCTCGGGAACAGGCTGTGCAAGATCGAAGATTGTTTTTGTTGCTAATGTTGAATGGCAGGTACAACTTGCCAGCAGAACTATCTGGGCCTGAAGTTTTGTTTGAAACAAGATTTTTAATGATTTCATTTCTTTAATTGTTACAGGATTATTCAGAATTTCTAATTCTTAAGTCAGTTTTGAGAAATTTTATTTTTCTAGACATTTATTGTCTAAAGGCTCATATTTATTGCCATAAAGGAACTCCTATGCCCTCCTCTACTCATCTTAATCTCCGTGCACCTAACTTTTGTTTTTGATTCCTCATACTATTTGTATCATCACTCTACTTTCCCTTCACCGAGCTCACTTGACATTTGACCATTTTATTACTCTTTAAAAAAAAAAAAAAAAACTTGGGGCACCTGGGTGGCTCAGTCGGTTAAGCGTCTGACTTTGGCTCAGGTCATGATCTCGCAGTTTGTGAGTTCGAGCCCCGCGTGGGGCTCTGTGCTGACAGCTCAGAGCCTGGAGCCTGCTTCAGATTCTGTGTCTCCCTCTCCCTCTGCCCCTCCCCTGCTCACGCTCTGTCTCTCAATAGTAAATAAACGTTAAAAAAAAAAAAAAAAACTTTCCTGAGCCTCTGTATTGCCTGCCTCCTTTGTTTCATTAATGTCTGTTCATCTTGCATTTTCTTTCTTTAGGCTTATCCTATTGTTCTTTTTCTAGCGTAAAAACAGTTGCCAAGCTCAATTTCCAGTGTTTCTTCTTTTCTAACATAAGCATTTAGCGTTACAAATTTTCTTCCAAGAATCACAGGTTTTTGATATGTTCTCATTCAGTTTTACAACTTTCCTAATTTCCATTACAATCTCTTTTATGATAGTACCTTCCGTTTGAAATTCATCCTTTAGAATTTCTTTCATTGAGCGTCTGTTAGTAGCAAGCTTACTCCGTTTGTGGGACTGAAAGTCTTTATCTCACCCTCATTCTTAAGAGAGTATTTCCCTGGGTCTAGATTCTAGATGGACAGCTACTTTCTCGCAGCACATTAAAAATAACATTTCGCGGTCTTCTGGCCTCCATTGCTGCTGCCGAGGAGTCAGGTGTCCATAGAATCGTTTTTTGCTAAGTAGTCAGTCTTCTCTGTTTGCGGTGCTCTGCAGTACTGAACCTGACGCTGAGTCTGCCTAGTTCTTCATCTTCTTTCTCTTTCAACACCTACTGAGCTTCACTGGAATTTCTAAACCATGTGGCATCCCGTTCATTCTGGGAAACTCTGAGCGATTCTTCAAATACTGTCTTTCTGCCAGTTTCTCTACCTCTCCTTCTGGAGCTCTTTGTCTAAACTGTGCTGTGTTCTGGATAATTTTCTAATATCTACTGTTCCACTGACCAATTCCCTCTTCAGCTGCGCTTAATGTCCTGTTAATCCTGTCTTTAGGTTTATTTCAATGACTGTTTCATTTCTAGTTCTATTTGATCTTTTTTCAAAGGGCTTTTTTTAATTTTTATAATTTCTTGGCTATGTACTCATTTTCTCCATTTCCTTTTTTCCCCAAATTATTAAACATATTTATGTAACAGTGTGTGTCTGATAATCCCACAATCTGAGGCCCTTGTATTTACTACTATTTTGCTGCTCCTGCTATCTATCTCTCCTACTGGTCTATTTCCTAGAGTGCTTGGCAACCTTTGACTCTAAATGCATATCCCTTGAAACTTTACCTGAAGAAATACTTCGGGCTCTGTGTGGAAAGTGGGTTCCTTCTCTACTATGTCTGCCAGAACCAGAAACTTGAAGACACTTTAAACTATAATCTTGGCCTGATACTGTGTAAGATTCCTAGTTTCTTTACTATCCTGAAATTTATTAAATGCCCCATAGTAAGACTTTTGAGTATAGATAGTAGCTTGAATATGTGCAACTAATCTCACTCTTACCTCATTAACAGTGAAAAGAACTGTTTAAACTTTCTTGTTTAAATTTGAAACTAGGAAAAGAGATGAGTGGCTGATGCCTAAATCAGCAGTAGAGAAAGCAGAGACTAATCAGTTTGTACCACACAAGCCCCTCAGTTCTCAAGAATCAGTGACATCAAACTCCTCAGGAAGTAGGGGTAAAATGAAGAAAGCAATAAAAAAATAAATAAAATTAACTAACAGTGAATCCTACTTCCTACCCTTTAGAAGGGCATACCTTCACAATACCCTTGAAGATCAGGTTCCAGCTATACCTCATGCAGCTTTTGGCTTCAGCATCCCTGCTCCTGTGGTCCCCTCTACCTGCAGTATCCATGCCCTACCCCTACTTCACCTTAATAGCTCAGAATATAGTAAGTATCCAACAAATATCTATTTGAACTAATCTAAGAACTACAGGACCATGATCCATCAGAGCAGTTAGATCCTAAGATATTTCTCCCACATTCTGCATATTTGCAGCATATTTTCCACTCCAGCAAAAGGCTAGAAATATTTTTCTTCTCCAGGGAGGACACCTGGCCGAGATGAAGGCATGAGGCCATACTGAAAACAGGGGGATCTAATAAATATATGAATTCTGGATGCTGAGACTTCCAACCCAATTCCTCTCTGCTCTCAAACTTCTGTATCCAGAGACTGAAAGAAGTGCTCCAGGGAACTAGACCAGCCAAGAAGGAAGATCTAG